GGTAACAAGCCAATGCTGAACATAAAAGAGACAGTGCCCAGGTCCAAAGCTCAAGCCTCAATCACCAAGGCTCTGAGTTCATACCCCAGTATCAGCACAAAAACAAATAAGCAAAGAATTGTGAAAGAAATATGGCTAGATATAAATTGTATAAGATATATACTCTTCAAGGACAAACAAGAGTTTAGAACCTGTAATAAACGGCTTAGTTTGAAAGTAAAATGTAAGAGAAAAATCTGGTTGGGCACAAAGTGTAAGAAACAAATACTGCAAGCCATAAGAATTGAAAAGAGCAATCCAAGACGGAGCTTAGTGACTGGTGCAAGACGTAAAAGATAAAAGAAAAATGAATGTTTCTTAATGAAAAAGTAATCAGTTTGAGCAACAGATGGTGCTATCACCTGGGTTTCAGGTATTATTTCTACAGACAAAACATATACTTCAGAAAATTACCTAAGAAGTCACTAATACTCTTAGAAACATGTAAACTGTTATATTCTTGGTTAATACAAACACCTGAATTTTCCAATTCCAGATCATAGAAATGTTACTTTTCTACTAGTTACATAAACAGTCAACAAGAAAAAAACAGGCATCATCTTGGCTCTGAAAAAATAAGCATATAAACAACAAACATACTTAAAACATTAAGAGGATTAACAAGAAGACATAATATCCTATATCAGAGGCTAAGGCTTCCCCTGCCTCCGAAGACTAGCAATTTCAAATAGAGCTAGAATAGACAGTTATACAGGTTTGTGAAGTTTACCTCAAATATTTCAATTTGGATCATAGGTACAAACTTCTGCTCCTACATTTTTACCTTGTATTTTTTTCTCATTTGTCAATCTGTCCTAACACTTCCCAGTACTTTTTTTTTGTCAGTCACGGGGCTTGAAATGAGGGCCTGGGTACTTGTCCCTGAGCTTTTGTGCTCAAGCTACCACTTTAAGCCACAGCTCCAATTCTGATTTTGTGGTGGTTAATTGGAAATTAGTCTCATGGATTTTTCCTGCCCAGGCTGGCTTTCAACTGCTGGGCTGGCTTCCAACTGCAATTTCTAAGATCTCAGCCTCCTGAGTAGCTAGGATTATAGGCGTGAACCACCAGCACCCTGAACTTTCCAGTACTTTTGATTCAGTCACTAACAAACCTAAACTTCTTATGCCCCCTCACTATCCTCACCCTGTGCTACTTCCAAGTCCTATTTCTTTTAAGTTACCTTACACCTAATTTTAAATTATAGCTCATTTATTCTGTATTGAACTGGCAATGTATTCCTATTTTGTCATGGTCCCTCCATCAAAGCTATAGGCTCTGAAAGGAGCTTTAAGAGAGAAACCTAGGCTGGAAAGGTGGCTCAGTGGTGGAGTGCTTGCCTTGCATGCATGAGGCCCTGGGTTTGATTCCTCAGCACCACATAAGCAGAAAAAGCCCAAAGTGGTGCTTTGACTCAAGTGGTAGAACTCTAGCCCTTAGCTGAAGAGCTGAGGGACAGTGCGTAGGCCCAGAGTTCAGACCTCACAACAGGCAAAAGAGAAATCTTATACTTTCTTATTCTACTCATAGTGCCTAGCTGGCTCACTTATAAAAAATTTGCTAGGGATAATGAAATAGGCTAAATCTAAGAAGAAACCAGAAAAACAAAACCTCACTTTTACTATTAAGTCTTCATGATAAATGCTAGAGAACCTAACCAGGTGACACATCTTAGCAATATTCTAGACATGAAATCACAAATAACTTTTTCCCCCAAGTAATAGCTGTAATTCTATGGAATAAACCTACAAATAAAGTCAAAAATTAACAATGTGTTTCACTGCATTGCAGATAATCAGCTTCAAAGAATGAAGAAAGACAATCCTTGATTCTCTTACACTCAAAGTCCTCTTACACTCAAAATGTTTCTTCTTTTGTGAAGAACTGCCAAAAAGGCTACAATAGAAATAGTTGTTCTCTTTTCTACATCTCATTGTACTTTTATCTATTTACTCCTTTATAGTTGCCACCTCTCTCAACTAAGCTTTAGCTATCCTTAATTTTTGTATTTTATTTATCTTTGTATTCCTAGGGCCATGTACATGGACAGTGCTAAATAAAAGTCACAAAATTAATGAATAACACATCATGGGTTTAACTTTTTTTCTTAATGTGGATAATCTTCACAGATAAAAACAAAAGCAGCCTTGGTTGCAGAGCATGGCTTGTCAAGATGCTTGTCTCAAGGAATCTCTATCCTGGGGGGGAAAAAAACCTGTAGGTATTTTAGGAACTGAGTTTGAAAAATGAAATAAATTCATATTTGTCTTAGCATTATGCTATTTTTCTTAATTTCTAATACTTTTCCTAATTTGATAAAATGATTTTTTTTTAAAAAAAAGCATCTCAACTCCAACTACCAAATGATGGAACATTTTATTAAAATTCCTTCACAAGGGCTGGGAAGGTGGCTCAGTGGTAGAGTGCTTGCCTAGCATGCATGAGGCCCTGGGTTCGATTCCTCAGCACCACATAAGCAGAAAAAGCCAGAAGTGGTGCTATGGCTCAAATGGTTAAGGGCTAGCCTTGAGCTGAAGAGCTGAGGGACAATGCCCTGGCCTAGAGTTCAGGCCCCATGACCCACCTCCCCCAACCCCCAAAAAAAATTCCTTCACAATTCTTTCAGAAACCAAATTTCCCTAGCGTACTTTAAATATATCTTACAAACCTAAAACAGAACACTATATAACGATTCATGATTATATTACCTTATTATATTATATTGCCTTTGTGATCTGCAAAGAATAAGTATGGGTCATATATCTCAGGGAACATTAAAATCGTATCTCTTTAAGTTGTGATAAAACATCTTTATTGTGCTACTTCATATTTGAAAAGTGAACATCAAAGGCAATGTTTTCTCTATGTCCTGATAATGCTAAAAACTTTAGTACTCTTCATGAAAGTACTTAATAAGGGTACTTCAATTTAAAAACAATGAATTATGAGACTTAATTTATACTGTACCGTATTTCAAATCTGTAACTTCTCAAGGTCAAAATAATCTGTCTTCTCCAATGGAATAAAAAAGGAGACTATTTTCAAGATATTCATGTGCCACATGACAGATTTAAGAGATTATTTTGCAGCACATTTTTAAGAAATTGCTAACACTGGACACTATTCCACTCCCAATGCTCCTAATAGTGTACAGAGAATGGTAAAATAAGACACACTGACTGGGGTTAAATATTGTAACCTACACAAGCCAATCAAACCCATAGTTGTCTATAATATATAATAATATTTACTATCTGATTCTCCTTGTCAGTGCGATCAACAGCTCTTGAACATAATGTGTTTAGTTATAAAATGTAGTCTTCACATGTTTTTGGTGGCCCACACGTGCTACTCTCTTCTCTGATGTTTACCAGATAACTAGATATGTGGGTTAATTATAAAGAACCGATATGTATCTATACACCACAAGTATATGTAGAAAAATTCTAAGAGTTCCATTTTACTATTAAAGTGTAAATGAACAAGATTTGATAGTAAAAACGTTTCCAAACACATCTTACTAGTTTATCCTTAATCCAAAACATTTTTCTGAACAGTTACACCTAGACGTATTTTCTGCTAGAGATTTTAGAGAAATCTACCACAAAGTGAGATCACCACTCCTAAGAAACATCCCCTAACATTGTTTAAACTGGCCACTGGTTTGAGACTTAAGTGGATTCTCCAACACCTGTAGAAGACAGCATATTTGTAAAAACTAGTAAATACAGGAAAGTAGCTCCCGGCGTTACACTTGAACCTTTTGAAAAATGTCACCGTGCCCGATTTATCACAAAAGAGAACAAATTATCGATGTTAAGTTTTCATTTTAGAAGCACACAGGCCCTTGTGTATTTTAACTTAACACTTACAAACACTAAAATTCTCATTTATTAAACACTGGTCCAAACTGCTTTCCTATCAACCACATGATAAAAAGTATAAGCATCTCTCCTACAACTTTCTCGGAATTTTCCTAAGCGCCCTAGTATAGTTGGCCCTCACTTCGGAGCACCTCTCAGCCCCGGGCTGCACGCAGAGCCTCCCTCCACCTCCCTTGCATTTCTAATAAAGCTGGAGGGAGGGTGCGAGGGAGGGAGGGAGCGTATTTATGTGTGGATAAGTGCACGCGCGCTCCCGCGCTGCTCCCCACCCCCACCCCGATACTTTTCTTTAGTGGACAGAGGGAGAAGAAGAATCCAGAGGTTACTGCAGCGAAAACTCGAGATCCAAGCCCCAACCCAAGTCACAGACCCCACCGATCGGGTGGGTCGGAGGTTTTAGCTGGCGCCGGGCAACTTCTCACCAACCCCACTCCCGGCTTCGGAGCAGCAGATGGGAATTCCGCGGCCAGAAGAACCTAGGGAGGAGCCGGGCCGATAAGGAAAAAGTGAAAGGGCCGATCCCCGGGCCAGGCTTGAGGTTTAAGTTTGCAGCCGAGGTCGCGTTTCCGCCGATCGGCGCCCACCCGTCGTCTCTCCCCGCACCCCCCCCCCCGGCCCGCCCGCCCCAACCTTCCTTTTCCAGGTGGAACTCGTTAACACAACGAGCGCCCCGCCACCTTTCCTTCCCCGCCAGCCCTTTCCAGGCCCGGGCAAGTGAGGGCGGCGAGGGGGAGAGGACGCCTGGCGGGGCCGGCGTGAGGCCGACCCCAGCCCCGTCACCTGTAGAGAGAGAGAGAGAGGGAGGGAGGGGGGACGGGGAGGGGAGGGAGGGAGAGAGAGAAAGAGGGAGAGAAAGAGAGAAGCGCCCCCTCCCCGGCCTCTCTGCCCTTCACGCCGACCGTCTTCCCGCCGCGACCGCCCGGCCTGAGGACCGAGCACGGCGCCAGGCTTCTCCTCGGCGGCCGCGGGGGCCCCGGCCCGGCTGAACTGGCTCCGGCCGGCGGCGGCGCGAGGGTCCGTGGCGTGACGGGGCGGGGGCCGGGAAGGCCCCGGGAGCCGGGCTCTCAAGGTCCCTACCTAACAGCGTCGGTCTCCGCCGTCTCCTCCTCGGCGGCAACGGCAGCGGCCGCGGCGCTGGCGGCGGCAGCAGCGACATTCCTGGGGAGCGCTCCCGCCGCCGCCGCCTCCTCCTCCTCCTCCACTCTCGACTCGCCTCTCGTCCCCGGCGCGCTCACCGGGCGCCGAGAAACCTCCCGCCACCTCCACACACACACACACACACACCCCTCACCCCCGCCCTCCCCGGCACACACGCCCCGAAACCCGGATCCCGGCGGCACTCGCGGCCGGGTAGCCCTCCCGCCCGCTCGGCCCGGCCACCAGCGGCGGCCCGACCCTCCCCCGCCGCGTCCCCCTGCGCCCGCGGCCGCGCCGGGCTCAGTAATGGCGGCCACTCGGGTTCCCTCGCGCTGACGGCTCTCTTCTCCCTCTCTCCCGAACTTTACCTCAGCATCTCTTCTCGGCGCGCACCGCCGGAACGCACGCGCGCGCGCGCACGGCCGCGCGCACGGCCATGCGCGCGCAGACACACACACACACACACACACACACACACACACACACACACGCGCGCGGCTGGGGGCGGAGCGGCGGCGCAGTCCAGAGTCGGGTGCGCGCCTGCGCGCGCCCGCGCTCCCCGCCCCACAAATCCGGCTGCTCCCCAACTACCGTCCTCGCCGCCCTCACCTCGCGACGCCTCCCTCCCTCCCGCGCCGCGCGCACGGCTGGGCCCCGCCCCTGCCCTCGTCTCCCGGGAGCCCGGGAAGGCGCGAGCAACCGCGCCGGAGGGAGGGGAGCGAGCGCGCGGGGCCGCGTCCTCGCTCGCGTCCCCACTCCCCCATTGGCTCCCGCCCCTCCCCCGTCTTCCTCCGCCTCTCCCGCCCATTGGTTCGCTCTCCTACTCCATTTCTTCTCACCTTTTCCCGGTTACCCATTGGCGTGAGTGTCTCTGCTCCGCGTTCTCCTTTCTCGGCGCTCCGCTCCTCCTCCGTCCCCTCCTCCACTCTTCGCCGGCTGCCCGACGGCCGCTCACGGCTTTCTCCCTTTTCTTTTCTTTCGTGCCGGCTTTTTGGCCGTAACTCAAGAGCACGCCACGACCCCGCGAAGGAACTGGATGTGTTCGCGGCTGCGAAAGATGGCCAGGGCGCGCATGGCCGGTCGGTGCGTCCTCGGGGGGCTCCGGGGGGGAACCTGCGCCCGCGCCCGCCCGCTCGCCCGCGGGGACGGGCTCTCCGGCGGGAGTGCTCGGGGAAATCTGTCGCCTGCTGGGGACCTCACCCGCCCAGGACCTGGTGCTACCCTCACCTAGAAGCCAGAACTCCACGGGAGCGGCCAGAGGAGTCCACTTCTCCATCCACACCGGACTGGGCTTGTGTAGGCCCTAGATTCTTCTGGAAGTTGAGCGAGACGTCCAGATTTGGGGTGGGTTTTAGGGTGACCCAAAAGAACCCCTGCCCACACCTCTAATAAGTTCCACGTTACGGTCTGTCGGTCACCTGCTTTCATGATGCCATATATATATATATATATATATATATATATATATATATATATATATGTATAGTGTGTGTGTTTTCAGAAATTTCACAAGTTTTGGAGTACGCTGGGTATTTCTCTTCTATGCATCGACACTGAATGGCAGAGTGTATACACCGTGTGCAAAGTACCGTCTTTTTGCTATTGAAGAAACTAAGTACTGTGACTCCTCCAAGGTCATCAGATTCTTACATAGAATACTCTTCAAAATGATTGCCTCCAGATTAAAAAAGAAAGAAAAACACCAATCCACCCCCACATCATTGTTCTAAATGATTTTTTTATACATTTGAAAGAATTAATTGGGGGTTTCTCTTTGGGAAAAATTTATTTCTTGCACTGTAAAGTTGATCTTAGAAAGTTAACATGTAAAAAAATAATTCTAGAGAATTCATGTTACTCTATTTCTTATGCTGTGTTACATAAGGTACTGAAGTTGGCCAAGGTTGCTTTTTAGTGCTATAATGGTGCAGCTGCTGCCAACCAGAAGTACGTTTACGATCTGTCAGTAAAGAAAACAAAAACTGCCGGTTGGTAAGAATCTGTTAGAAAATATTTGTCAGTAAATCTGTCACAATATTCCAGCAGAAATTCTGTTCGTTCGTTCTTTCCCCCATGTCCCTCCACTGTCCATATTTCTCAAAGGTAAATTGAACAGACAAAAGCACCAAAGACTAAAATTCGTTTTTCTGCCTCTTCCTTGTATCTGAATGATGTCAAGCAAAAGAGTAGCTGCGTCAGTTACAATGTAACCGAAAAGGAAAAGGACACTGAAGAAAATTTGCAGTAAAAGTAAAAACTAAGGGTAGAAGAGGGGGAGAAAAGGATATTGGGAAGAAGGGCCCCAAACAGCAAAATCTGATACCCTATACTCATACCATTTATATGAGCTCGAAAGCCAACATATTTAAATGCTGTTTAAAATCTCTACTAAAAGCCTTTAAAATTACATAAAGTCTACTCATTACCTGACTTTATGATATGATAACCCCCTTCTCTGTACAACACCCTAATAAACAACAATATTAAAAAACAGAAGTAGGGGTAAAAAAGGAAAAAATTACACGGTCAATGAAAAGTCATAACCTTAGTAAAATATTAAACACTATAGCATGTCCACCCTGAAATGATTTTTAACCATGGACCTTCATCATATAACCCCAAGGCAAATAAATTGGGGCTTTAAAGGAAATATTAACATGAAAAGGCATAATTTTCAGTTACAGGGCATGACATTGAGGAGAAAAAGATTTTAAATCTCATTTTGTTAAGGCAATAAAAATGTTTTTTATTTAAAAAAATTCATAGCTGACCTTTTTGTCCTACATCATCCATCCTGATTTAAAGGGTCTGGAAACTAAGAAATTCTCTTCTTATTAATACTATTAGCTTAAAGGTATTTACTGGTACAAGTAAGCTATTATTTTTAATCATTTTTATGTTACTCGCTTTTCTCCAAAAATCAAAGCATTTGTTTTCCTGTACCAACAAATCTGAAAATGGGAATTGGGGGCCAAAAGTCTGTGAGTGTTGATGTTTGTGTATTTACAAGTAAAAAGCATTACAACGCAGAATGGAAAAAAGGAGTAAACGTCATTTCTTAAACTTGATCAGGAGCCACTCCTTCAGAGACAGAAACTTTAGAACATTCACCCACCCACATAAAGGAGATATTCTGAGAAATAAGGAATTTATTCTTTATATTCATGACTGCAAACATAGAGGAGATGGAATAAATAATACCAAGGCCTCTCACATCAACATCTCTAGAAAAAATTTAAGCACAAGCACTTGTTCTGCTGTGCTGGATAATTAAAATCACCCAAAGCTTTGTTCTTCACTTACCCTGAAAAACTTGGCAAAGGATTAAGATTTCAGTCAAGCATTTTAGGTTTTTAATTTAAATATTCTCCACAAATTTCTAGCTGAACATATTCTAATAAAGTATTAATATGCATGATCTTTTTTGGATCAAAAGAGGTGACAGTTATACAAAAAATGTTATAGTAATCCCTCAGTAATGGCAATATCCAAATGAATGAATGTAATACGACTTCAAAAGAATTTACCCTACCGAAGCGGCTACACCCCCTGCTGGAAAGCTTTGATCATAACAACTTTGGTTTTTGTAGCCTCAATAGAAAACAAGAAAAGGCAAATGGAGGACCTTTTCAATCATGACAAAATTGGCCAATATATTTTTTCTGTCGATGGGCTTCTGGAAAATGAACTGCCTCAAAATATCATCTTGATTATAGGAAAAACACAAAAGACAGAATAATGATACATACTACTACTCAAAGCCTTACTAGATTATTGTCTCATTTCCTACTACATTTCTCAACTCATTCCCCACCCTTCCTAGCATCATCATCTCTTGTCTAGAATTCTATTTCATACAGGTAAAGCTACTGGCAAGGGGAAGTTAAGATAAAGTATTACTACTGCAGGTGTGTGTGGGGGGGGGGGGGGAGGGAGGAGAGTTAGAGGGCACAAATAACAGTATACCAATAGCACCCTAGTAGCCATTTGCTGAGTTAAGGTGCTTAAGGGCTTTCTTCAGATTTGTTTTATGATTACCAATGGTATTTTCAACATAACGAAAAGGTGCTAATTATGCTTTGGCTGTTACTGTAGAAAATATTTTGACAAGAGTTAAGGTAATAGTGAGCATGGGACTGGAACAAGAGGAAAGTAATGCATTGACCTTCTTGGCATTTTGTTCCACAGAGCCTTGTTCTGTTGATTTTCCAGAATGGTATTTTCAGACTGAAATCCCAAAGATGGTATCAGACTCTAGCGTCAAAATGTCATGTGCATACTACTCTAGTTCTAGGACATATCTAAAACAGTGAAAACAGCACTCTTTTGAAACCATTACTATTTTATAAAAATTACTTGTAATGTAGACTCTTCTTAAAAGAATAACAATTCATTCAGGTCCCACCAGCACAAATACTTTAATTAGACAAAAATCTTCAAGTTATTTCCTCTCACAAAAGGAGGTATTGTTGGGCCATCTGGACCCTCCATTGAGTTTTTATGAAAGATCACAGCTTGAATTTAATCAACCCAATAAGGTTAACCCTATAAAGCTAAAAAATAATTGCAAGGGTTGCTAACTGAAGGACTTCAATTTTTCTTTTGACTTTATTACCATTGTCATTTGTAAATCATTTCAATAGGAAAAAACTTGTATTGTTTGAGTATTTAACCACAGGAACATTATTCTAATTTTTGTAAAATTCCCTTATTTTCACTCTTTAAACCAAATTTGTATTACGAGTTTCTCTGGATAGGAATCTCAAATAAATGTTTGTCTCTAAACAATACTAGAATAGAAGATCATTAGTCAAAAGCTCAACAAATGTTTGATAATAATCAGAAACACTTTAGGTTTTATAGATTTCTGTGGATTTACTGCTAACAGAAGGATTTAGATTATGTTTTGAAGCACCAGCTGAGATAATCACTTTGGAAAAACAAATCATTTAAAGAAATTGCTGAATTGTGAAAGTTGAGTTGGCTGTCTTACCACAAGAAGAACATCCAACACTTCTTCATATAACATCCCTCTCTAAGGAAATGTGAGTTACTATTAACAAATATCTGTAGGTCTGAAACATCAGGGAACATTCTAAAGCACTGG